CAAGAGGCACTATACTGGAACCCATTGCTTCTTACCAGATTTTTTTATTCTATAGTAAACCCTTTTAAAATCTTCGCCAATCCCACTTTACACCATTGATACATTTAGTCGCCAAACCAAAAACAAACTTAGCGACACCGCCCCCAATGAAAAGCGTGTTCTTAAATGGTCAAAACGAGTCAAACCCTCTTCTGCGAAAGAACTCCAACAGCCAATCCCAATTTGATTTTTTTTACCCCAACTTTTTAATAGCATCTTCTCCCTCACGCGCAGCAGGAAGTCAGCAGAACCCCAATGCTTAATGTTTCCCAGGAAAATCCAACACCCGCAAACGACAATTCTCATGGATTCAAAATGGCTCGAAATTGCCAATTAGTGGGTCAAAACAGGACACAGCTGGGCCTTCTTTGCCACTGACCGATTCTTATCTGTGGGAAAAGAATTTCTCTGGACCCTTATTTGCAGCTGTGACTTTCTCACAGATAAACAAGGCAATAACCCCCCATGGGAAAGAATTTAGGAAATCCAGATGCTTTAAAAAAAACAGTGCAATGCCTACCCGAGAAAATTCGCACAAAGAAAGAGGACGGGAAAAATCTGCAAATTTGAAGGGACGGTTACTATAGCGCCGTTTCTTAAAACCAGGATTCGAACAAAGAATATAGTAAACACACGGCTTTTTACAGTAAAGTTCTGCAGTGCAATGTTATGTTAAATTAACTTACACATAAATAAATTAAATAACTCTGAGAATGAAAATAATTTAAGTAAATAGATTAATTTTAAATAAAACTTGAAAGAGTGACACGACACTTCTCGCCGGTGGACTTTGTTTGGAATTTGATACCAATCTGCAATTATGGTGCAAAAGTAAATTTTTAAAAAAGTGAATTCAAAATCACATAATATTTAAAATAATGAGTTAATATTTAAGGACTGAAAAGTAGAAACAAAATTGAAATAATTAAATTCCTCTTTTTCATTACTCTAATAAATGTGTGTTTTTTAAAAACTATGTTTATTAATTTTATTTTTTACCTGTTGATGCGCATTACTATCACACTTATTCTCGGCCTATGATACCATTTTTCTGTTTTTCGAGTCAATACATGTTATTTCCCATTAGAATAGCTAAATTATTTTAATTATTCCCTGAGAAAGGGATGGTTTATATTTTGGGACTAAAGGCTTAAATTTTCAAAATTCAGTGGATGAGGAAATGGGGCCGAAATTGAAATTCATATGGAAATTTTGGGTTTAAAACTGCTGTATTATATTGAGGTTTATCCTGACTTCAAACTTCTTCCATTACAATGTAGAAAAGAAAGTGAAATTTTGAAGGCAAAATCATGCCGCTGTTGCCTAGTGTTAAGATTTGGGATAGGAAGGCACTGAAAGTTCGAAACGAAATTCCATCAAGGTTTTGCAGTGTATGTGAGAACACGTGAGTCAAACAGCCTCTTGTTGGTGTGGCGTAGGACAGGGGTTCCCAACCTTTTTTCCTTCGCGTACCCCTTGATTAGTCTTTTTAATTTCGCGTACCCCCTAATGTCATATCGCCTCTTCAACCATCCGTCTATGCAAAGAAGTTTTATCAATATTGTTAAGGGCGTGGGTGAGCTAAAGAGTCAAATGACTGGAATTTATAACATTTGCTGAACTGATTTTTCATTTTACATTTTATTCCATTTTTACAATAGTGATAGTTCAACGTCAAAACAGATGAAATCAGTATTATAATAATTTCGCTTTAACTTTATAAGGATAACTAAAAATGACACTTCTTTTGCTTTCTTTTTTTTCATATTTTGAGGGTAGGCTTAGGACTTGCACAACTTTCACTTTTACTTTTTACACGAACTTGGGGAAACAAAATTCTGTAACATCTTTAATCCCTTATGTTTTCTTGTGTCCTCCATTGCCAACTTCGAGTTCGCGTACCCCCAACTGGCACTTCGCATACCCCCAGGGTTACGCGTACCACAGATTGGAAATCTCTGGCGTAAAAGATTGGAGAAGACGGTTCTGACTCAGCTGTCGTCCCGGTCACCTGACCATTAGGGTGGATAGAAAAGTATAGGAAAAAAAATTTGTTTTGAAATTCTTTTTGGCATGGGGCGGGAAAGTTGTGTCTTAAGTATATTAGTTTATATAATTTTTTTTATTGAAATTCATTTATATCTTCCGGTGCCCCAAGCGCCTCAAAAATAGTCAAAAATTGAATTTTTTTGGGGAAATTTATAAAAAAATATTTTCAAAATTTCCTTTAGCGCCGGGTAAGAAAGTTTTGTTTTGGGTATATTAGTTTACGTTTTTTTTATTATTATTAAAGTTCATTCATATCTTCTGGTGGCCCGAAAGCCCCCCAAAAAGTTAAAAATTGACGTTTTTACAAATATCTATTAAAAATTGTGAATTAATGAAAAATATCTGAAAAATTGGCAGATTATTCAAGTATTAAAGTGTAAACTTATAAATAATTATAATTTTATAATAATACATGAAGTATAAATTTAATAGTCAAAGCAATAAATCACAAAACTTATAAAAAGTGAACTTAATCATAGATTTTTTAATTCTATCAATTTGAAGATTTACATATTTCTAAAGGATGTAATCCTTTTTGGTAATATAATGCTTGATAAGACTTCTTGATTGTATCCTATTCAATATGAAGCCGTGTCTCTTCTCTTCTCCATATACACTTTTCGACGCTTCAAACACTATGAGAAAACACCTTTCTACAGCTTGGGTATGGCGTGGATATTTTGACCATTCCTCCGTCTAACTTTTACCATGTCCTCTATTTATTTAAATGGCACATTCATCAAAAGAGGTGGTTCAAATGTCCAACTCGTTGCCAGTTAATAAGTGCAAAAAAATCCTTTGCTTTAAAGTCTATTTTTGGTACTTGAAAAATTCTTATTCTGATGATCCTCTGTTTTCATTTCTAGCACAAATTAGTTTTCGTAGTGCTAAAGACCTTATATTCTCTCTGTTATCTGTGAGAATTGACAATAGCAAATTTTCAGGATGACAAAAGAAGCTATTTCGTTGAATAAAAGTGTGTACTATATTTCTTAAATTGGGTTCGAAATATCTAAAAAATGAGATAAGTCTCCAAATATGCAGCGCTCCTTCTGTTATGGAGGGCTTTCTCTTGACATGGAACCATACAGGTTGCATATAACTTCATAATATATGTTGCAAGAATAATAAGATTGTCAGATCAGATGGTTTTTCTGTGACCACATACAACCTTAAAATTCTACCTGCAATTGTTAGCCACCTTGAGTGAACAACTGGACCAGGCTTTCTTAATGCCAGGTCAGAATAACATTCACCGCGTGATATCGATAGGCAAATATCATATAGATATTGCTGACCATTGCTGAGAACCATTCTGTCTATATTATGTGGCATATTCTCCACATTTATTGAAGAAAAAGGAGCTACAGGTAGCTCCTCGTAGGTTTTGATTGCTTTACCAAGTGGTCGACAAAATTCTTTAGGACCAGCTGTTGCCCATCCAAAGAATTTAGTAGATGACGGAGGGGTAACTCATTTGTTTGAAGCAAACAAATTCACCATTGTAATGGTCTATTGAGGATAGTTCCATCAAGAGAATAATACCTCCCTTGTGCCCAGTATTAACATTTGTTCCATCGCATCCAATTACTGTTATCCCATTTAATCGCATATTATGTGTTCCAAAAAATTGAGTATTGCTTCTTTTATGGCTTTAGCTCCTCCTGTTGCAGCAGTAACATGTCCGATATACACAGGTAGGTTGTTTACAAGAGTGTAATGCTCCTCTTTCGTGGTCTTTGGGTAGTACCTTGTGTCCTTCTTAATTAGCACTTTTGTGTTGTCTTTCCTCCCATCGAAATATGATCCGGTTAAAAGAGACCAAGACACTGTTGACTTGGTAGACTTTGCAACTGCATTTTAAAGCTTTTTACGCTGTCTACGAATTTTATTGCTATCTACCACATGCGAAACCTCGCCTTCGTGTGCAATTCCAATGTCTTGTAGAACAGCACTGGCAAATGAAGTAGCTGTTCTATCTGAAACTCCGTATCGATCACATTCCATTGTTAAGGTAAGGAAATCTAAACGATTTTATGATTGATATTCCAAGGTAATTACATCCGTATCTGTATACAAGGACGAAGGCATAGTGTTGAGCTCAAGTAGCTCCATTGATTGAGCATGAGCAGCATCAGTTTTAACCATTTTACGTTTTATTCTTTTATCTTCCATCTGTTTTCTTTTTTCCTTTTCTCTTTTTTTCAGTAGCAATTACTTCCACTTCTCCAATAACCATTTTCCTTTCTAATATTCGATCTTTTATAAACAATCACTCAGCAAGTGGATTGTTCATATCTTTTTGAAATTTACATGTATCGAAATTTGTACACTTACAAAATGTGATATCGAACAAACACGATATTTTTTCAGTGCGATAAATTTCAAATTTTTGTTGGTATTTTTTATCATTCCTTCGCCCTCTCCTCTACGTTTCTCCTTGTAAAATCGTTTCTTTAACACATTTTTAATTTTTGATTTTTAATACGAAATTTGCATAAAAAACGTTTTTCGCAAATATTTAAGCGTTTTGGGGCACCGGAAAATATTAAAAAATGTTGAAAAAATTTTGCATATATGCTAGTACACTTAAAAGACAACTTTTGCACCCTATGCCGATTATTTTATCCACACTTTGAATTTTCAATCCACCCTACTGACCATAGTTCGAAATTTCGACAATCTATTAGTAGCCGCAGTGTACTAGTGGTAAGGTGTCGACCTCGAAGATGAAGGGATTCCAGGTTTGAAGCCCGATTCCTCTGAATATCAGTCCTGTACTGGGCCTGTTGCACATGAAATCATACCTAGGGGTCGAACGACCTCCCGCTGGTGTGGTGCCCATAACTCACGTCCACCGACTCACCCATAGGGTTTAGAGTCCACAAGGACGGACGAGTTAAGATACCAATAGCACGCAATGTTCCCAGGTGCCAAAGTACTGACCGCGCCCGATGCTATTTGACTGCGGTGATCAGACGAGGACCGGTGGTCTCAGCATGGTATGGCCGTTGGCCGCTGGTGTGGTGCGGCAGTTTGGAGAGGGGGTGCCAGCTCAGGTGTCGTCCTCGACATCCGACCGCGGTTCAAAATGACGAGGTTCGTCCCAAAATAACCCTCGTGTTGCTTCAAAATGGGACGTTAATATAACTAAACTAAACTACGATAATCGATTCATTGCGATCGATCAAAGTTACGATGCTTTTCCAAAATTGTAAAAATGAAATAATGCATGCAAAAATTAAAGAATAACATTTATCTAAAAAATAGCATGTGATCCGAAAGATCACATTAGGCATTAATAGCTGCGCCTTACGAAAAGTAATTTAGCTACCGATAATTTTATGAATTCGCTGTATTTTATATCTTTCATTTAAAAAAATATTATGATTTTTATTAAGCTATTAAGACCTTTGACATTTTACATTCCTGAGTCTGATTAATTATGTAATAAAATAAACGTATTCTTTTCGATTAAAACAAAACACTCTAGCTGTTATTTGACACTTAATTTATAATAAAAGAAACCTGTTTAATTAAATTTTTGCAGCATGATCATAAGGTGAAAAAATAATTTGTTTTCAAAGATTAATTTTCAATTGTCGACAATTTTAAGGCTTTATTTCTTACAGACAAAAAGAAAAAATAATTAATTCAAAGAAGATAACTTTTGAATAGTGGTGTAATTATTGCTTTTCTGAATTTTAATTTGTTCTCATATTTCATACATAATAATTAACGCAAGTTGTCTGCATTCTTATCTAAATTGCCTCTAAACTTCGAAATATTTGTTAAGAGAAAGGAAATTTTAGATGCCAAATAATTTAATTAGTTCACTTTATAGTTTTTATTGATAATATTTGTATTGTCTTTAATGTAATTAGTTTAAGATGCAAATAGCATCAGTATAAATGTACAATTGTTTGAGTTTTATTTTGTGTATTCAGATAAGAAAATTCAAAGCATGCAGAGGCTTTTCATAAACAAGCGCTGCTACAACAGATAGTAAAAAATGTGCCTCTAAATACTATTAAATCAAAATACGGGCGTTCAGTGACACGTGTAAAAAAACAATGACATTCCTGCATTTTAACAACATTAAAAAGCATAATTTTATGAAAACTCATGAATTATGAATGTTAACACCGGGACGTTGTTCTAAAAATGTACACATTTTTTTTAGGCAGGAAAATAAGCCTAACTGAAAAATTGGTTAAGTAAAAAATTAAATGGCTGTAAATAAGAATGAAATTAAAATACTAAAAAATAAAGTAAAGCAAAACAGTTAAGAAAAGGGGGAAAAGCAGGAAACACAATTAAACAAAAAAAAAACTCGCAAAAGTTTGGAATACTGCCAATTTCTGATTATCCCTATTATTCGAGATCTGCTGTCAACCACTTCGGTTCCAGTAGAAGTATAGAAAATGTCGTTTTCCTCTACTTATACATCATTTCACCACAAACTCTAAACGATTATGAACATGAGCAGTTAATTATTTTCTGATCATAAAATCTGTCATTTCTGATAGGAATTAAATTTAGAATAACGTCTAAATTATAAGAATCCAATATAATTGCATGTAAAATTAAATTAATTTAAAAATGGCGAATATGATTAGAAAGTACATTTGAAATTAAACCGCATTTAAGCGTTGTAAGTTTTTAAACATGAAAGAATTTCCCCATAATCGTATAAAATTGTTGTGCCTACACAACATTATCAACGCTAATGTGAGACATAAATACGGCGTAACAGAGAAAGTGCTGAGTGTTCCTAATGACGGTGGTTAATCCATTCCAAAAAACATGTTCTCTGCGTGTTGTTTTATTCAT